CAGGTAGAATTTTGAACACCATAGAAAGTTTACAATTTCTTAATAATTTAGAAATTTATTATTTGCATCATTTGCAATCAAAATTGGTCCAAAAATATACACCTATCCAGACATCCATTTTTTTTTTGTATCATTTGTCCTTAAATGCAAAGATGTTAGCTACGTTCATTTTTTTAAATAAGACATTTCTTAACTATCAAAATTGTTCACCAATTGATGTTTAGATTTTTAAATGTTGCAACTTTTTCTTTCAAAAAGACTGGTTTTATCTTTGTATCCAATGAACAGACCCGTTGGAAGACATTTCAGAAATGTGCTGTTTAGGGTTGACACTATCAAGGAAAAATTCCTTATAGAGCATACAAAAGTTATCAGAAGTTAATATTTACATGATTTAGGTGACACAATCATAAAATAGCTATGTATATAAATCGAGAAAATTATTGGGGGACCCCCCCCCCCCCCGTTCCTACATCTAAGAAAAAAGAAATTACATGTAATATAATGTACACAGAAAAATTCATGACAAGTTTTATTTTATGTTGATGCCACTGAATTGAAATTTTCTTGTTTCTTAGCAAAAGAATTCATTTCATGACTAAGACTCATGTTGATTACACTGTATTTAACATTTCTTGATTCTTCACGTAAAAATAAATTTGCTCAAGTCAGACAAGCTTTTTAGGAAAGCTAATACTTGTTTTACATGTTATGGTTAAATAATTGATTGCTTATTTTCAGCAAAATTATACCTTGACATTGAATTACTAGTACCTAAACATCAGCCACGTGGTCAAATATTTTCTCTTAGTTGCCCTGCTCCAAGTATTGTAAAAACTGATAATACAGTGCCTGAGAAAAATGCAGTGAAAACAGAAAAATGTCTTATTCAAGTTCGCTTTTTAATTCTCTATTGTGTAAATAGATTTGTATGTTGCTGAAGTGTTATACTTCACTCCTATCCAACGATTATATTTTGGACGATATTACATTGTAAATTAGTTTGCATCTTCTTGTTTCTTTTCCCAGATGCTTCAGTTCAGAATTTCATCAATCAATTACGTAACAGTGTTAAGTAGAGAATCATTGTACATCAAATGGTTTGAGAAGCAATGAAAGCTTTCAAGAACAGCAGGGGAATGGTCAGCATGTGTAACGCTCTGCCAAGATTGTTATCGCCAGGGTTAGGGTTATACGCGCCCATTAAGTGATCAAAGATCATCCCATTGATTTCATCTTTTACAACCTTCATTTAATTCTGTTTGTTGAATAAAAAGTCAGTTAGGCCATTTAACATTAAAACATTACTTGAAAAATGCTGACCCGGGATCTTGAAACATCTTAAGCCTAAGTCCATTAAAATCTTTATTTTATAATAAAATGTTGTAAAAGTCAAGAAGACCAGAAGGGTCAGGGTTAGGGTTAGATATATTTTTAATATTGTTTCACAGAGATGTTGTTATGTGCAAATGAAGAAATAAATTCCATAATTAATAAATATTTTATCGGCGATTAAAATTTCACTTAAGTCTTATAGTTTGTTTCATGATCCTGGAGCCAGGAGCTTCAATTTAAAGTTCTTTGTACATTATTGTATACAATATTGATTACGCATGGTCTCTTGAAGATATCTTATCGAACGAAAGAAATTGTATAACATAATATATTATTTCTTTCCGCTTTTTAAATTTTAGCAAACCACGTCAGACGAGCTTTTAAGGAAAGCTAATACTTGTTGTGTGTTTTAGTTTGTATTGAACCCCAAAACTGGTTTGACATCAAAAAAAGTTTGACATCAGTCGATCTCAATCACATTCTTAACAGCCCAGATCAGTGTTTTGTCGATGAACTTCTTCTATTCCTCCCGGATTGCCTTTTGTCACAATTTTGTTTAATTTGATTATGTTGGTTATGGTGTACCATAGGTTCATTCTCATCGTATAGTCGTTACGGATAGCTGGTCACGGCTGCCAGACCGGTTTTAACAATTTTGTCTACGTGTAAGTTAGTTCTGAGCAGGCCGTAGAAGTGAGAAGGTGTGTCCTTCCTAAGTACAAATGTTGTATGACCTGTGTGGTCGCGAGAGAAATAGCTACGTGCTTTGGGCCTGAATGTTTGTGTGTGTTCGAGAAGTTTTCCTGTGTGGACAGTAGAGTAATTTTGAGAACTTTGGCAGCGGTGAGTTTGAACTGTATATTTTGTTAGCTAGGTGTTTTTTGTTATTTTTTTTTTTAAAAGAAAAAGTTATTATTTCATTACTTTGTTAAGTTCAGTTTTATTTGTACTAGATAATGTACCCGACATATTCAAGTATTCCTTATGAATGCGTTTATTACCGACTATGGAAACCCAGACCTTTAAATAATGTGTTATTATAGGTGACCAGCTATCCGTAACGACTATACGATAAGAATGAACCTATGGTACACCATAACCAACATAATCAAATTAAACAAAATTGTGACAATATCTTTAAAAAAAAAAAATAACAAAAAAAACCTAGATCACCTTTTGACTAAGGTCTATCAGTCTAAAATTCTTTTTTACATTTTGTAGAGATGTGTCGGATATTCCGCTAGTTTACTACATGTTTCATTAGGATTATTATGGGTCTCTATTGCGTTTTCCCAGCATGATTCATGATTTGATAAAAGTGCGCTGCTCTGTCAAATCACGAGACGTCATTTTTGCAGTTGATCTCGTAGGGGTCACATCGGGAAAAAATTACAATATTTCTCTTATTATTTCAAATATTTCGCCAGAAATCTAAATACTTAATAATAAAACAATAAAAAGAAATTTTAGAGAAAATTGTTGAATAATATCGTGAAATATGGAAAATAAATGAATAATATTTTGGATATCGCATGTTTGTTTTTCAACATTTTTGCCGTGCTCCGTATATCACCATCAGCAGTATCAAAACGGCAATAATTTTATGAAATATTAAATAAAATCAAAAATTTTTACCAAGAATTTATTGGAATTTTTAAGAAATATGTTCCTATGAAATTTCAATTCTATATGACGTCTATAAGAGTAAATAATAGCAGAGTCCGCGTAATTTTTGAACGGCCCTCGTACATTTGTAAATCTCTTTGTAAATGTTTATATGGAAACGGAACGTAAAATTAAACCAACTTTCTAATAGAACATGACTGGATTGACTTCTGACATAAAATCAAGTTTTGAATTCTCATTGTCCTGGCAATTTCTCTAATAAAATAAAACATTGTTCGTGTGTGTGTGTTTTTTTTTAACTTACAGCATGATTTTTACACAAAATACAAAAGTGTAGATTGTAGAAATTGATGTCCCCGAGGTCATTCTTTTGTACAGGAAGATAAAAGGTGTCGACATGTCCGAGAAATCGATCATTGGAATTGTTAGAAAACCCCCGATATCCAATTCAACATGATATGGACGAAAATCCGCATTTACTTTCTTCTGAGAATTTCGTGTATATCAAATTTTGACTCATCAAATTTTGCTTCCGGTAAACTAAAAACATATTTCTATATGAAATTAAGATAGATCTCATGTATAAAATATCGAATTACAAAATTATGTTGATCAATTAAAATAACATGTACCTGTGATTTTTCAAACTACAATTTATCATCTTTCTTTTTAAGTGGTCCATATATTTTTCAACTATAAGATTGTTATTAATAAGTTTTCTTATGTCCAGAATTATTTTTATTTCAAAAACGTGTTACATGTATATAGCCAATGTCTATGTATAATATTTAATTTACCGGCAAATCATGGGGCTGCGCATAAAAATGAGCCCGATAAATTTTTACTTCCGCAAATTTAATCATCAGACCGGAAGGTTTGTTTTTTTTTTAGTAAATATCGGCCCTTTTGTCAAATTAATAGAAAAGCGTGAAACTAAACAACTTGATGGTAGATCTTTTCCTAATTTTTGGATGAATTTATGTAATCGGATATCCTATAATGAATCGTTGAAAGTCAACATTAATGCCTAAATGAAATATTTACACAACCTCTGTAGAATTAATTTCAAAAATTTTAAGTCGAATTTATGAGTCAAAGTTGTTTTGTTATGAAATTTTTCTTAGAAAAATATTTTTGGATAAATTTATCTTGGTTTTGATTTAATTCTTGATGAAAAAGAAAAATCTGTGCGGAAAGCATAATCAAAATTAAAACGTGGTACACTTCTTGCAAAGTTGGACTTTTTGTAATTTATTTTTTAGAACGCACCTCACCGTTAGAAATTGAATGCAGATGAAGAATAAGATAAAATATATAAAATACTCTTATTGATCTATATACGATATTGTTATTTTACAAGCACTTGATCATGAGTTAACAAATTGCCCATATTGATTAGGATTTTAAAGTTGAGATGTATTTGTTTCCGATTTGATAAATTCTTTCTTCATAACCGCTTATCGGTTTTATTTTATTGGAAATATTTAAAGAAAAAGAATCATAATATGATTAAATTGAGTAAAAAATATAAAATTAGGTCAAAATGTATAAATAAAGAACTTCTTAATAGTTTTGTTGATAAAACAAATGAATAAATTTCCTTGTACTAGTTCCTATAGTGTTCTAGATGCGCACTTGGCGTAATTCCGAAATATTTTTAAAAATCCCGCAAAATAATGTCAAACAAATTGTGACGTCGTTTTAATCTCGCAGTGACGTTATATTTTCTGCACACTGACGTCGCAGCCAGAGGGTTAAAGGTACATTTATTAAATCTGGAATTTTCCGTGAATTCCGAGGACTGGAAATGAGAGGATTGTATGGATACAGATGATTCAGCTGGTTGTAAGGGGTGTGTGTCCCCATACCAAACCAGGTTATACAGAAATAATTTGTGTTCCTCTTTGGATATTAACCAATCAGAGGCTAGAATACAAACGAAATTAAATTATTACTAAATAACGAATTTCCAAATCAATTATCTTCACAACTTGATATATTTTTAGTAATCAAGTGTAAATATTTAATTAAACACATACTCTGATCACATTGCATTCCCTTCCATCCAGGCCGACACCCTCCCTCACACTCCCCAGTTAACCTGTCACATTGTCTGGTCCCTCCACAGTTAACACTGCATTCCTGTACACAGTTCCTTCCATAATAACCCGGATCACAGACTGGAAATAGGGAGAAAGAAAGAGTTTGAATATAAGTACACATTACATGTATATGTATTCTCAAATATGATTTCAAAGAAGGGGATCAGAAAAGTAAAGTTTTAATTTGAAAAATGCAAGAAATGCAGAAAGCTATGTGTATTTAAGTGTATGAATAGTTTCTCTTTTAAATTAAAAATAAAGGGGATATACATGTATTTTCAGTAGGAATTATTACAATATATATATAGTTCTTTTAGGAATTTGTTTTATTCTTACCCATCGCACAAGTACATGTCGCACACACAAGAAACTGTAGGATACCGAGTATCATGTCTTCGAACTCGAGAATTTCACCAATGTCTGCAATAAAGAAAACACGTATAGGTACATATATTCCTTGAAATTACACCAAACACCACGCTTTAAATAACAAACACTAAACATTAAATAACTAAAACGAGCCGCCTTCCAAATTTGAGTTCGTTAAGTAAACCCTCAGAAGCTTATAATTTCAGGAAGGCAAAACCAAGCAGCGTTCCTTAATATGGGATCACATGCAATGTTCAAAACATTACGTAGCTGTTCTAGGCAAATTCTTTCTTCTTTTTGTGAGAAGTGTAAAATACTGCACCCTGGTATTCAAATATCCCATTCAACCCCGGATCTTTGTTTTATAACACACACCAACTAATGATCTTTACGACCAGTAGATGAGTCGCCCGCATGGCGCAGTGGTTAGAGCGTCTGCTCTAGAGTCGCGAAGTAAGGAGCTGATCATTACGTAGCGGGTTCGAATCCCACTGTGGGACATGGAGACCGGTCCTTCGGATGAGACCGATTAAAACCTAGGTCCCGTGTCGCAGTAGGTGCTGGCACGAAAAAGATCCCTCACTGCTCAATGGCCGTAAGTGGGACAAAATTTGCAGCTCTCCACCGCAATTGGTGTCGTCTCCATATGAGTGAAAAATTTTCGAGAGGGACGTTAAACAACAAACAAACAAAAAACCAGAAGATGAGAAGGGGAATATCTGCAAAGAATGGCATATAAACAAGAAAAAAATAATTTTAATAATACGGATCAGGTAAAGAATGTGAGATGAAATACCTTACAGAAAGAAAACTAATTGATTTATTCAAGATGGCCTATTATAAGGATGTGGGTGCAGAATATCAAAAACTGATTTATATGAACTACACTCGCAGATTAAGAGTAGTATGCCCGATATACTTTTTAGTACATACATACATGTACATGTAAATATGAAGAAATGGTGTACATTTTGCTAATTTGCATAGCGGCTATATTGTATTTAATATGGTAGATTTCTGTTTAATGCATTATATGAGAAAAAAAAAAACAACAGAAAAACATTGATTAAAAAAATCCTTCAATTTGGAATAATGTGTCCATCATATGTTTCTGCCATTTAATGTGTCCTCTCGCCCTGTGATCGGAAGGTCTTGTGTTCAACTCACGACGGCGACTGACCTAAGTCGAAAAAAATAGGTAACAAATGTTCCTTCACCAAGCGTTCGGCACTTTGAAGTTTCGGGTCCTTCGGATGAGACCTTAAAAAATGAGGCCCCGTGTCACGGTAGGCGTTAGCACGATACTCATAGCCATGAATGACGAGTAAAAAACTAAATTTGAAGCTCTTCACCTGTTTATGGTGACGTCTCTATATGAGTGAAAATTCACTCATACAATCAATCAATGTGCCCTCAATCGGAATGCGCTTTTTTGTTAACAAAATGACGAAAAGTTGATGGTTACTTTTAAATTAGAAAATCTGAAGCAAAACTTCATTACTTTGACATAGATATTCCTCATATGACGTGAACGAGTGTTCGTTGTATTTCAGTTTTTAAAAATAAATTATTAGTTAAAAAATCATAAAATAGTTCCTTTTGAACTTGAAAATCACATTTAGACAAAGTGAATGAGCCTCTGAGTGGGAAAAACACCGTTTGTGTGTGTGTGTGTGTGTGTTTGTTTTGTGTTTTTTTTGGTGGGGGGTGGGTATATTACACTTGTTGACATGATATGATGAAAATTTTATCAAATTTGCATGTTTTTTTTTCTTCAATAAAGAGTATTGATAGTGACGGTCAAGTTTTCACTAATTCATAAATAAAGCGTATAGCATTTTTCCATATAGTTAATGTGCCTTTTCCCTTGCATGTTACAAGATTTGACATGATTTGTTCATTTTTGAAATATCAAGATTTGCACACATATCAATCAATGTTAAATAAAACATTTCCAATGATGAAGAATTATAACGATTCCTTAGTTACCTTGATATTCTTGTCAGATTTAAATGTTTCTATCATGAAAAAAGGGTACCTGTCTGATGTATGTGTCAGTTCTTCAATATTGGTTAAATCTTTACCTGAGTGTTGCAAAATATTTTTTCATAATACACAGAGGGCTAATCCTATCGTGTAGGTTGTTATCCTAAAATCAATTTTTTCCTTCCACTACATTTCATGACAAACTTGTTCAATTTCTTCTCATAATAAGCCGAAGAAAGGAATTTATGGAATTGTTGTATGAAGTTTTAAAAAGTCAGAAGTTTTAATATTATTGATTTGGGGAAAAAAATGTTATTTCAAGCATTTTTTTTTTAAATTTGAAAATCTATATTTTATTTACATCATTTCTTGTAATATTTTGTAGATCAGTACGTCTGAAGTTTCTCCTTCAGAAAGTTTGGAGATAGGGCACTCTTGGCTTAGAATGCATTGAACAGTTTCACCGTAGAAACTGTATATCCGCTAGAGGTCGTGCGTGAAAAAAAGAGAAAATCAATACTTTTAAGGCTATCCCTTCCTTAGGACGAATATTTCTGATATCTATAAAAAGATATCTTTACTTTTCTCTTACTTATATTGATTTATTTGAAATTTGGTTCATATAGGTAATGGTGTTTAAGATAAGAATTCCGTCACATATCTTCAACTATATCCTACCTGAATAGTTCGTGTGATCTAAAACTGCTCAAAGTTTAAAAGTGTGATCGAAATGATTTTCTGATAACAGGACTAGATTTTATTTGAGATCTAGTTCACCTTTTCTCTCATTTTATAGCAATCAATATTTATTTTATCAACAAGTATTTAAACTCAAGTTGTGTTAACATTTTTAGGGTATGTCACTTCTGACATTGGCTATATCAAGGATTTACTGAGAAGCACTTTTGAGATATCTACTCATACAACAAAACTTAAATTGGAAGGAAACGAAAGTCAGTGCAAGTGCAAAATACTGCGCAAAAGATAAAAAAACATAACTGTTTGCTCTTAAATTGTATTCTTTATATTAATCATTTTAACCTTACTGATAGTTTTATCAGATGTTTTCATGGTAATAAACATTATTTCATTCTACTTAAAAAAGTTCAAATAAAATATGTTATTGAAAATAAAGATGCCAGTTAAGTGCATGAATTATAGTATGACCTTTTAAACTAATGAAATTTGACATCTGGAGTATCAAAAATCTTTACACTCAAACATAGTATTCTCTATATCAATGAAGTACACATTGGATCCTGTCATTTCCATTGTTTGAATCTTTATTTGCGAAACATTATTTTTTACGAATATCGTAGGTACGAGTTAATGTAATAATGAATTGTGGAACTCTTTTGTATTATGCACGATTTTCTTTTGGCGCCTGCACGCCTAAACTTACCTCGTCTGTTTTGGTTCCCCACGGTGTAAGTATCTACATTTAATTATATAATTATGTCCTATGTCGTAGTACTGATGTATTTGTACTATCAGTTTTGGTCCATTATTGCCATATACATGTATTTACATTTCATGATACTTTATTGAGTTGCGTTAAATTTATGCTTACAAATATGTAACTTGTCAATGCATGAACTTGATTGTCATTAAGTCATTATAGCATTGTGTGTACTATCGCTAAAGTAAACATACTTGATTGTTATCGAAATATCCAGATTCATTTATTTTCTAATCTACGGTTAAACGTTAGTGTCACAATTGTCTCTGATTCAGTTTAGTGAGTCTTGTTATGTGTTTCTCATAAACTTATTGTGTTATGAAATCAATATATATTAGGTAAACTGCATTATTATTTAGGATAGTATGTATGTGTTTACATAAGAGATGTGTGATTGAATATTTCTATGATTGTGAATTTATGATTGTTTATTTGTTTGTAGCGTTTTACCACATTTCACCTTGAAATAAAGAGGTTAACTATCTGCAGGAGTTCCGTTTCATCCATGGCAGAATAGATCCAGTATCTTGTTGTTTCAAAATATGAAATAAAATGTTCTTTTTTGAAACAATTAATAGGATATTATGACGTAAAAGATGTTGTGGGTGAAAATATGAAAGCTTAAAGTTGCAAGATATCTGCAGATTTTAAGAATTATTTTCTTGATATCAAGTAATCTTATCACCTCAAGAAAAATCCCCCAAAATCTTATTTCTATTTGGTGTTTTTTAAATAAAAATTTAATGATGTACAATTTGATTTGTTAAATTCAAAAATGTTATAAAATTAAATTGAAAGTGTTAATTTTGATATTTGAGGTTCTGACCAATTGATTTAGCAGGTCACAATTTAAAAGAAATGCATGCATATATTTTCATAAATAGTCTGCAAATCAAAACGAACAAAATGACGTAAATGAAGTATGATAATTCTTGTTACCAATGTAGCTTTTTTAACCAAATGATTTCACTGATTTGATATTAATACAATGTTATTCTAAATTGTTTCAATGATGATACAATTGTTGCTCTATATAAGTGAACATAACACACCTAATGTGTACGTATATCCAGCCGATATATAAGAAATACGATTCTTTTCGAACTTAAGGTTTAAAATTTTTTATATATCGAGTTTTCCCTTAAATTTTTTTTTTACAGTTAACTTTATTGTTGTTAACTAAAGTAAATACTTTGATTTACTTTGAAACTAGAACCTTTGAAAGATTTTGCGCCCCCCCCCTTTTTTTAACATAAAATATCATTGATGTAATCGTCGCCCGCGTGTCGCAGTGGTTAGAGCGTCTGCTCTAGAGTCGCGGAGTAAGGAGTTGATCCTTACGTCGCGGGTTGGAATCCCACTGTGGGACGTGGAAACCGGTCCTTCGGATGAGACCGTATAAACCGAGGTCCCGTGTCGCAGAAGTTGCTGGTACGAAAAAGATCCCTCGCTGCTCAATGGCCGTAAGTGCCGAGTACAGGACAAAAGAACTGCGAACGATAGCATTATTCTCCCGCCTACCTCCA